ACGGCGAAAAGAAAAAGCGAAGACACACGAAAGAGGCGGGAAACCCAACACCCGAAAAGAGAACGGGGGGAGGACGACAACCGCGCCCGACGAAAACAACAAGTAAGACAAGAGTACTACTCACCCCTCCCCACGTCAAACACGATCGTCCCTCTCTCCTGTGCTGCTGCCTCCCGCGCTCCGCTCCCGCGCTCCGCCGCTTCTGCCGCCGCGACCGCCGCAGCAACCCGCGACGCGACGCGCGAGCGAGCAGCGACGCGGCGCGCCTCGGCCAAGTCCAGGTCTTCTGGCGCCGCCCGCTGTGGCCGCTGAAGCGCGTCGACGGCGGCGGCCAGGGCATGGAGCGCGGCGAGGGCGGCGAGGGACAGGGGCAGCGGTGTGGGGACGTGCCGGGCCTCCTCCGGCTCCGCCGCGAGGCGCCTCCGAGCCTCCTCCTCCGAGACACCTCCGAGGGCGTCGGTGCACTCGGCGCAGCCCCAGACTCGCGCCAGCAACGTGCGCGGCGGCTCGAGAGCGCGGCGGAGTGACGCCCACTGCGGAGCAGCGGCCGCGTCTTCGGCGCAGCTGCGTGACGCGGCCGCGAAGCGAGAGAGCGAGCTGAGGTCGAGAAGCCGCAGGCAGCGCGCCTGCAGCGCCGGAGGCATCGCGGACCAGATAGAGGCGGTGGGAGCGCGGTCGAGCCAGAGGATGAGGTTGCACCGCTCACCGCAGCTCAGAGGCACAGCGCTGTGGCGGGCGGCGCCAGCGTGCAGAATCGCGCCGCCGAGCTCGTGCCCGACGGAGTGGCTCGCGTCGGCCCGCTCGGACGGGTGGAACGCGAGGTCGCCGCCCGCAAAGTCAGCCGCGGGCGTGAGCGCGACGTTGACTGTGAAGGCGCACGGGTCGCGGTGCGCGGCGTGACCGTCGCCCTCGCCGCTGTACCGGACGCAGAAAGCGCGCTGCAGCCGGAGCTCGGCGTGATACGCGCTGACGGCACGTAGCCGCTCGACTACCCGCTGCGCCGTCGGGAGGTGCGCTCCGCCGTCGAGCGTCTCGAGCGGCAGGTGGCGGTGGTCCACGTCGGCAGGCGCCGAGCGCACTGCGGAGAGAATCAGCTCGCACGCAGACGGAGAGAGCACGTCGCTCGCGGCCCACGCCTCGAGATGGCCGCCGAGGAGGCGCGAAAGGGAGATTGGTGGCGGCGGCGACGCCTCAGGCGGAGGCATGGGAGCTGGCGCGGAGCGATTTTCTTATTTTAGGTGGAGTCGTTTCGCCAAGCTCACACAAATTCAGTGGTCGGAAGCGGCGAGTCTCAATTCCAGGGGTCGTTGTGGCGGGCCACCCTGTCCAGAGCCCGGGAGGTGGATCGACAAGTCGGGAGAGAGTCGGGAGAGACAAGTCGTATCCAGCAGCCTCCCGGGATGGGGTCTTTCGACCGAGTCTGATTTCGCCTCGCCGCCTCCCGATGGTGGTAAGGCAGGAGCAAAAACATTATTTAGGGAACGTTGGTTCGCTTGCTCTGTTCACAGCCTTGTTATGAGAAGAAAATACGTCATATGGCGCTATGCACTGGTCTGTGAGAGGTTGAGGTGCGAGCCCTGGAGGCCCTGGGGATGGAGGGAGACTACCCGCGGGCCTAGAAGGCCCGCGCGCAGGGGGGTGGGGCATTGAGACCGGGTCCGAACGTCGATTCGCCCCGTCCGTAACGTCTAACCGCCCGCCGCGCATAACTGACTCCTCATCACCTCCCTGCTAACATACATAGGTAGAAAGGTGAAGAACAGCCAGGCTCGGACTGGACACCAACGCGGTATGGGTGGACGCTAGACGGATGATGACGACACGCACGAGCGACACACAGACACAAACAGGCTCACAAGACACACACCGGTCATTCACGGCGAGCACTATTTGTGAGCATCTGTGGTGTCATGCTGCGGCGTTTTGCAATCATCGCCACTCTCGGCCTCGCCTCGGCGTTGCGTCCGACGCCGACGCACCTGGCGTTCGCGCTCTCGCAGCCTGCGCTCTCGCGCCGCGCGCTGCTTCCGGCTCTCGCTGCTGCCGCCACCGTCCGGCCGTCGCCTGCACTTGCCGCCGATGCGCTCGAGCAGCACACGACTGGCTCGTACCAGGTCACGTTCGGTGCACCAGCAGGCTGGCCTGTCAGCGAGCAGGAGCTCCAGGGCAGTCGCTACCTCTACATCGCCACCGACCCGGCCGAGCCAGACTCCGCCAACGTGGTTCTCACCTTCCAGCCGCTCGCAGCTGACTACACCAGCCTCGGCAGCTTTGGCACGCAGCAGCTGGTCGGCAACTCGCTGATGCCGCAGTGCGCGGACCGCAGCGGCGGCGGCTGCACGCTAGAGGGCTACGGCATCGAGGGCAAGATGCTTGGCACGGACACCTTAAAGGGCGCGCCGGCGACTGGCCCGACCTGCACCCTCGCCCCAGCCCCAGCTCCGACCCTGTCTGAGTCTAGGTGCCTACACCTACGACTACACGATTCAGCAGACCGGAAAGGCGCCGCGCCACCTTCGCACGCTGTTCGCGGTTCAGACCGAGGAGGGCCGCGGGCGCCGGCTGGTCACGCTGACGGCGCAATGCTACGAGTCGAAGTACGCCGAGCTCAAGCCGATGTTCCAAAAGGTTCTCGAGTCCTACTCGACATCGCTCAAGTAGGCGCATGTATCTCTTGTCGTATGCGTGGGTGGGGCATGGGGCCATGCGGCGGTCACGCGCGTGTGGCCGTCGGAGAGAGGGGACAGGGGTCCGGAGCGTGGTGTTGCGTACGCTGTTTGTCCGTCTCAGCGGGTATCGCCCTAAGAAAACTCAAGACGCGAATCACGCCGCCGTACACAGCGCCTCACCCTCCACCACTTGCAGCTCGGCGACCGCGAGCGTGCATGCAACCTCCCGTCGTGCTGCCGGCTGCGCGGGCAGCCATGAGGAGCCCGGGGCCCGTGGGGCGAGGCTAATGCCCGCCGCCAGCTCTGCGGGGAGCGGGGTCGCCCGCAGCCACTCCTCCATCCCAGCCGTGGCACCCGCTCCGTCCCTCTGGGCGTTTAGCGCCTCTCGCAGCACACGCGCCGCTGCGCACGCCCGCCGTTGGTCGGCGCGGGCGCGCAAACTCCATGGCTGGCCCGCGGCGGCGGCGGCGCTGCAGCGGTAAAAGACGCCCCACACCGGAATGGGCAGCTGCGGCGTCACCTCGGGGGCCAGGTCATGCAGCCGCCTCTCCTCGGGGAACGCCTCGATGCCCGCCCCGCCAGAGGTGGCGAGAAATCGCAGTCCACCCTCAAGGGCGCGGCGGATGCCATAGACGGCACGCGCTCCGCCACCACCGCCCTTTGCGTCCGTCTCGAGCAGCGCTGCCGGGCACAGGATCAGTGCGACCGGCTCATGAGTGGCGTCCGACGCCGAGGCGGCCGCGGCGCTCGCCCGGCGCCGGCCGCTGGCGCGGAAGATGGCCCAGCTGAGCGGCTCGCCGAGGTTCTCCCTGCCGACTGGGGCGCGCGACGCCGCGAGGAACAGCGCCTCCACCTCTGAGGGCCGCTTGTAGCCCGGCGTCCGAAGCTCACCAGCGTCCCACACGTCCTCCCTGTCGGTAGTGGCGGGGTGTGGCGATGAGAAGGGCTGGCGAGGAGTAGCCTTGCGTTGCGCCCCGCCGCAAGCATGCCGCTGTTTGTGGCTGCGTCTGTGTCGGGTGCGCTACCTCAATGGCAGGCAACCGCGGTGCTGTCGCTGTTGCAGTGCTGTCGCTGTTGCAGTGCTATCGCTGCTGCGGTGCTGTCACTGCCGGTGCTATCGTTGCGCGGTGGCGTCGCACCTGCCGCTCAACTCTGGGACGCCACACTTCCGACTTCGGCACCAGCTCGTCGCCCAGCGCGTGTCAATGCCAGAGCCGCCAGAGTCTGCGGCCGCGTACGCCACCATCATGCGCGCAAAGTAGACGCCGGTGTCGTACACGCTCGTGTATACCACGTCGTGCGGGTCTGTCGACCCAACATTCCAGCCGACGCCGTCCGAGTCGGTCTCCTCGGTGGCCGCCCAGTCACTATCCTCCATCGCAAGCCACCCCGAGCCGGGCGCCCTGCCCGCGACGAGGAGGTCAAGGATCAGCGCCGCCGCGGCCGTCGCCGCGTCGCGTTCCAGACGAAAGCCTGTCGAGACGATCTCCCGCTGGAGCTCCCTGCGCAGGCAGAAGGCGGCGAGGCGAGGATGGTTAGACGGCGGCGGCGGAGGGGGCGGGTGCGCCTATTTACCCGGCATCAGCGGTGTGTAGAGGCTGCGCGCCATGCCGCTGTGGTCTGGCAGGCCTGGGACATGTCACGGCGAGGACTCTCGGCGACGCGTCTCGGAGGGGTATCTCACTCTGGCAGGCGGCGCCACAGCTGGCTTTCCAGCAGCCGGCTCCGTGTGAGGCGAGGCAGCCTTGCGAGAAAGGCCTCCTTGTGGAGGGATGCCTCTCGCGCGAAGCGGTACGCGTGGCTCTGCAGGAAGCGCCCGCTCACGTTTCCAAGCAGCTGCGCGCCCTCGAGGCCCATGAGGAGCGATTGGTAGGCCGCCATCACCGGGGAGGCGGTGTACGCGTATGGGTCTCCGAGCATCGCAGCGACGGCGCGCGCCGCGGTGAGGCCGTTGCCATCCCACACGCCGTCTCCCACGTACTAACGCGGGGCAATATGCGGTGGTGAGATCGGGCGCGAGTCGCGAGTGTAGAGAGGCACCGCGCCTGCAGCACGTTGTGCCTTGGGTACCGCATGCCAGATTTTAGCACCCGTGGCGTGCAGCCGTCGGCACAATGCGCGCAAGGCGTGTCCGTACCGCAGCCGAGGATGTCCGCGAAGGATGCGCGCGGCTGCAGGAATTCGGTGACGGCGATTGGGGGCGATGGCACCGGCACCAGCGAGTGCTGGCGCTGCGGCGGCGAGGGCGAGGACTGCGACGGCGGCGGCAGCGGCGGCAATGCGTGTGTTGGCGGTATGTACCATGAATGAGGTAGCAAGTCAAGCTGCGTGGCACCGAGCGTGAGTGTCGCTACAACGAGGAGAACCACCTCTGCCGTCACCAGGAGTCTTACATTCCGGCCTTGAGCACTCCGGATGCCAGCGGGCTCTTGTGCAAAGACACCTGGCGCGGCGGCATTGAGCACTGGCTGAAAGCCCACCTTGGCTGCACGCATGCGGTCTGCGGCCGATGCCAGTGAGCCGGCGTTCACCACGCCCCGCGACGGGCGCCCAACGTTTCTCCAGCAGTAGTACCCACAACAAAGCTGTGCGTTTCTCGCTTTTCGCTTAGAGCGGATCTCCTCCTGCTCCGCAAGGAGGGTGGCCAAGGCTAAAGTCTTGCCGGAGCCGCCGGGCGTGTTGACGACTTGGAGAAGGTCGCGCTTTGACTTGTACTTTTCTTGTAGAGATGCTCGAGGGGGTGCTTTGTGGGGCGGTGCGCAGCCAGGCCGGCAGTGAGGGGAGGCGCACCCTCACTCTCCTCGGTTGCAGAGCTCGTCGGAGGCTGCGGCACGACGGGAGGGTCGCGACAGCAGTCCTCGGGCGAGCCGACGCGCATGTCCAACCAGCGCTGGGACTCGTTGTGACGGCAGACGCCGGCTGCCTCTCCAACCGCTTCTGCAGCGTCCTTCTTTGCCCGTGCATGGGCTCGATCCGATTCCGCAGCGTGTCGTCCCCAGCGGCGGTGCTGCGCGGGAGGCGGCCGCGGGAGCGGCCCGGCACACTGCTCGGTACCCCCCCTGCACAACTAAGCTCATCCCTGCTGCTAGGGGGGGGGGGTCTGACCCCCCCCAGCAGCAGAGCGCTGCTGCTGGGGGGGGGGGGGGGCCCCGACCCCCCCAGCAACAAAACGCTTCTGTTGGGGGGGGGGGGGGGGGGCCCCCCCC